TCATTTTCATTAACTTGGTGTGTTTTACATAATAATAGACAAGCTTAAACAACAATAAACCAAATGTGACAAAACAGCTTTAATACAATAATAGCCCTTTGCATGGTATGGTAAATATAATATAATAACAACGACAATAGACAAGGGCGGTTTGCGCTATTAGCTAGTAATTGTGTTACACACATGACTGGAAATTTTCTGGGTATTGTCGAAAACGTGACTTTTGCCGCAGATGTATCAAAAAAGGAACCAAAATTTGGGGTGCTTGCCGATCTATCAAAAACGGAACTCCTGGTGTATCAAAAACGAAACTTTTGCGTCTTGGGAGGAGTAGTCATGTGATATAGAATGTCTATATCAAGAAGTTCTAAAAAGAACCACTTCAATTCCCCCATTTCATATGTCTTCCCAGTCATTTCATGGTAGAATTCACTTGCAAGTGAATGATTTCAGAAATGAATATGTCCATATCTAAATAGAATAACTTTAGTTTTAGTTTTTTTCATTTACAACAAGTGAATAGAATATAATAGTAATATTACCTTTTATCTTTTGTTTTTATAATATGTACAAAGGGGACTGGTGAGATGGTCAGTAACCATTGTCATCAGTTATGCCTTCAAGATTCCCTGAGCACAGCACAGAGCACTGAGGTTGCCCACAACAATATTGTAAGGAATCCAGAGATAAGAAATGGCCAATCACTGGTTAATTTTTTCATAGCATTTATTAAGCTTGTATCTGCTTCTCTTACTAACACGTTTACCGTTTGTTCCACTCGTTACTGTAATGGTTATGGTCAGAGTGTGTTATCAGGCAGGTGTGACTCTAAGGTCCTATCCCGTATGCTGGACCCGTTGTTGTTCTTGCCATCGTCCTGGGCATGGCTCTTCTTCTTTTTATTTTTGTTTTTTTTTAGCCGTTGATGTCGTTATTGGTGTTGTGTTGATTATATTTATGTGGCCGATCTCCAAGTCCATGACAGCAGAAGACCGAGCACGTCGTATCATCTCATACGTGATGTTTGCACCGTAGAAGCGTTGAATTTATTACTGTCATGTGTTTTCATAGACCAGCCTTCCAGTAAACTGAACAAAATCACCGACATTAAAGTCTTGCCGATAGATTCCGCTTGATATTTTGGAAACAATCGGGTTCATATTGGTAGGCAGCGACTCCTTGGATCATTTGTTTTATGATGTTTTTTGTGTTGACTATGACAGATACTGTGGCAGTGTTTGGCGCGTAGAAAGCTGAAGAGGTAATAAAGGTGTGTCTGAGTTCAGGTCTCAAGTTACTAAGTCCAGAACTCAGTTCCAGAACAACAACAAAAGTCACAGAGTAACACAAAAATTTACGAATCAAATTATATGGTGACGCAGGGAGTATTATCATGTGGATGATTGCCACTGGTGAAGCACCTTTTCAAGATAGACAGTTCAATAGAGATTGTCTGTAGTGAACGCTAGTTATCATGAATTAAGGCCTCAGACAAGAGTGATTCACTATACAGACAACGTCAATTAATTGTAAAAAGCTTAACGCTTGGAAATTACAAAAACTTTTATTACACACTGGCGATATTATGGGCGGACTACGACCTGATTCAGCATCAGAATACAAGAAACTTGCTCAGCATTGTTGTTGTGCAATTTCAGATCCTTTTTGTTGATGTAAGGGTGGACGATGATATATTGAATGCTGTTTATCATAATGAAGTAAGACCCTTATCACGTCTTGAGAAGGAGAATAAAGGCAATATTTATGCTAGTAGATATTGCCTTGCCCATCCCTAAGAATTAACAATTTTATCATTGAATCATATCACATGATTGCTTACAAAGAATTGTTTTCGGTTTTACGGGATATTCTAGAAGCTCTTGCCTACTGGAGATCTGCCTAAACGAAACAGTTATGATTCAGTTGCAGGTATGAAGACAACAATCACTCACATTGATATAAATGCAGAGTATTAACATCGTCTATTATTGTTTTATGATCTATATCTAGTGACCCAAGATTTTGTAATCTCCCATGCTGGGAGAAGTAAATTACCTCCCCTGTAGTGATTGCAACTTCGATTGCCAAGTCTGACAGAGAGGTAGCTGATGAAAAAGCACTCTCAATTTATTTGTAGACTGATAATAATTGACACATTTGTTTACAACAAGATGACGTGGACGATAAAATTTGGTATTAAAAGTGTTTATATGTGACTTTGGTCTCTCACAATCACAGGCGTTAGAGCGCAAATTAAAGTTTAAGTGGTCATACCTTTTATTGCAAAAGTCAGACAAATATGCATTTGTTATTTTGATGCGAATGGTGAACTACCTCTCAAATAGACTATTTGATAGCGAATTGATACGCGATATTATGGGTGGACTCGACCAACTGTGCCTGATTTAACGCCCTTGGTTTTTTGTTATTAACAATTCAGAGATTCCAAATATTGGCATACACTAGAAGAAACGTGTAAACATATGCTATTCTATTTTTTTTTTTAACAAGTACGTACTCGCCGCTCCTCCACTATAATAGTTCGTTCAAAGTATGTACAAAATTTTATTGATACATTAGTATGTAACAACTTGATCTTAAGCATACTAATACAGTTTAATCCCCTTTTTGTCTGTCAGCGATTTTCTTGCGAGCCGGCTGTGTTTCCCTCGGTTGACTTGGATATTGCTGGACAAATGATTTTACGGTTGCTAGACGAATAACTTTACATTTGCTAGACCGGACAATTTACTATCCTTGATTCGTGTTTCTTAGTACATAGCATGCGAAACTACACGCAGAAGATGAGTCATTGGGTCAATCCGTGAATTGTTTCCGTGGTCCAGATGTGAAATACAATCTACGTGAAACGTCGCCTAAAATAAAAGAACGAGCCACATTACAAATATAGTACATTTGCATGCTACGACAAGCTACAATATTAAATTATGCTACTTCGCAATACGTCTATAAATGAGTATTTGACGAGAACTATAATCCGTAATAATGTTGGTAAGCTTGAGCTTACAAGAGTTGGTCTACAATATTTTATTCCTCGCGTGAAGACCAATTTTGTTAACTCTCGGCGGCGATAATTTAATGAGACTTGAAGTATTGGCTCTGACTTCAATTGTTTGTATAATTACTTGCAAACATTATAAGTTAATGGTATTTCGAAATTTCTCCGAATTCGTAATGTACTTGAGTTATATGCCAGAGAGCTGCTTCGAGACAAAGGCATTTAAGTGCGACTTTTCGATCGTTGCGGCATTGATCAGAGGGTTACAGGTTCCAAGAGAAAACGCCTTGATACTATATGAAAGAAAATATTTAAGAATAATGCTTTTTATGCACTGGAGAAAAAGCACAAGTCAACAATCTATACTAACAACTTTTATTGCAAGGTTCGTATCACTTCCACTATTATCTTGCGAGAAAAACGTTGTGAGAAAATCATGAATATTTTCAGGAATCAGAGCTTCAGTTGTCTTGTCAATTTCTGAAAGGTACGAGGTTACCAGCGGCATTGAGAGCTGCATCAGAAAGGGAGACTTGGCTTCATCATTTGGATGATATTTTGTATGGACCACACAAATCTCCTTCACAGCCTTTGAATATTCAACTGCATTGTTTAGTATGTCCACTATATTAATATCCTGTATGTTGGCAACAGCATTAAATTACAAAGTGTTCATTAATACTTCATCATTTTTTCTGTCATAATGGCCAGTCTTACAGCAATATCATCTGATCCATTGTCTATTTGTGATCATTGCTCATTGTGCTTTTCACCTTGATCGCCATCACTTCGACAATAACGCTCTGTAATAGAAATATCCTTTGAGTACAATATTACAAGCACTGCAAATCGTGTTTAAAAGAGTCATCTAACCTGACTTTCAACTAATGAATTGAATTTTTTGTGGACGTTTTCATTGGTCTCTTGAATCGAACAGTGAACTCGAGTCTACGTGTATAAAGCAGGAATATTAGTATTAGCGATCACAAGCCTATGGCTTAAAAGACTTAGAGTACCGCTCTCTTCTCTTGCATCCAAATTTCCCAGTCTTGTTTATATTTTCCGTCCTAATTAAAAGAAAGAACTACAATAATATAAACATGAAAAATGTATTCGATTATGTACATCAAACTCGTTTCGCATTTTTGTAAGCTTCTTCTGTATTTCCTTATTTTTAGGATTGCACTCCAATGCTGAATTAAGAGTATTACGATACTTCTCATTTGCACGGTTATGATGGGTTGGTTTTATATATCGATAGAACGCAAGGGGTGTAGGTTTATCACAATTAATCATCCATCTTATGTTTTCTTTTTTCATGCTCTCGGATTTCGGCATTCTTGGTTTAATCGTAAAAGATATGGGTAAGTATCTTGTTGAACAAAACTTATTAATTAGTCATCAAAGTGAGATGTCCTTCACTCAAGACCGGCCATCTACTGATGACTTGCCACTATTGATTGGCTTCCGACAGATCTAGAGATTCCAGTCTGCCCGCTGGCGTCTTTTGTGTCCAACAACCTCATAATAATAACTCTGCGCGACACTCAAAGCCGGCCATCTATTGATGACTTGCCACTATTGGTTGGCTTCCGACAGATCTGGTGTTCCCAGTCTGCCCGCTGGCGCTTTTTGTGCTTAACAGAGCTATCGAAAAACTGTGGAGAGAAGAAAAAATCTTACACTCGCCTGAATAATAATAAATAGTAATTATGTACGCGGAAGGAGCTACGAAGAATTGTAAAATGAAAAAAAAAACCAACTTTATTTATTTATTTTTTTACCGTAACACAGATCAGCTGATCAGCTGATGGGTTACACAAATAGAAGCTTTACTTACGTACTCGATGGTGACAATGCGGGTGATCAGAATAAAAATAATGCCACTATTTGATTTTACCTATATTTAGTAATTTGTAGTTATTATGAAAGTATTAACTGGCGGATATGTAATACAGAAGTCACGGGTCGCACGACTGATATAGCAAATAGTCCTACATCCGCTGGACGGATTTCCCTTATTATTATTGTACATCACGATCAGTATAAATCTACCCCAGATTATGATCGTGCCTCTACTATATTACAAATCCAGGCCACATAAATCAGGCCACATAAATTCAGGCCACATAAATTCAGGCCACATAAATTCAGGCCACATAAATCAGGCCACATACATATGTTGAAGAAGAAGACTCAAGCGACTAAGAGGAGGCTACTATTTATGTACAAATGGGAAGAGAAGCTCTCGAATTAGTTAAAAAATTTTTAGAACAAAGAGAGTTTACAATAGAAAGTGATATAAGGTATATACGTAGTATAATTCGACGCTTAGACGAGTCAGTAGAAAGGTCAAAGCTTTATTAACAGAATTATTAACCAATAAAATTGCATGCTTTAAATAACGTTACACACACATATATGCCTTAGTTGTATCCCACCTCGAATATATCCCCGAAAAAGCTCCGTCCCGTCCCAAGGTGGGGATATAAATGAGGTAGGACTGTACATTGTTAAGAACAAATGCGCATCGATATGAACGCGAGATTAGCGGTTTTACAACTATACCAATAATTTATCAGGAACGAATCGAAAGTGATTCAACACACATGCATACTGGATCTATGTTGCTTATATTAATATATCCTCCGGGCTTACGTGTAAATTTCGTATTCGGAATCTGAATGGTGTGGTGTCGCTTTTTTGACGCTGTATGACACAAATTGATCGGATATTGTTACCGTCGGAAATTAGGGAGGAATATACGCCATAATTAATATTAGCCTTCACAAAAGCAATCTTTCTAAAGAGCAAAACGCTTATTTTGTTATATCGACATTATGGATGAACCGTGATATACGAACACACTAACACTGCAGATCCAGCTTTTGTTATCTAAAATTATATAGTAGAAACTGGTGTCTAAAAGCACACGTTTAACAAAATATTATTTTACTTGTTTACGAAAAAAGATTGGACTGGTTTACAAAATTGTAATATTAATATTTAATAACCATTTCTTAGACGTCAAATTGAGCAAGGTAAATAGTCTTTACTATACACTATAAGTTCTTGCGCTATATACCAAATGAATACATTGTTGAATCGTGTATAACATACTCATAACGCTCTTACTAATTTTTGACTCGTCAATTATTAAGTTTTAAGTAGTTCAGCGCAACACAGGTGACAGCTTTATCTTAACAATAAGAGGTAACGTTAGTCACCTACAAGAATTATTTTGACGCGCGTTTAAGCAAGGGCATATCTTAATATTAATATGGAAACATCCTTAGTCAATGTGCATCTCTCCCAGTACAGCTGAATAAAAAAATAGTTCTTACAAGCAAAAGGGAGGGAGGTTACTGTATGTATAAAGGTTTTATTATTATTATTACTCAGGTCGTTACGTATTTTGATAATTAAACTTCACACGTACTTTGAATAGCAAAACTTCAAGTCATTTGCATTCGTGCTATTCACTGTATTCATACATGAACTGAATCAAAACCATAGCCGTTTCTCAATTTAGGCTAACAAGATTTGATTAGAGTATTTACTCTACTTCTCCAAATGTGATATTGGTATAATATATAGTATTCCATATATCGTTATCTGACTCATTCTTGCTTATCCTTTCAATGAAACCATATATATAATTAGAAAGATCATAGTATGTTGGACGTTTGTCAGGATCAGCATCACAACACCGCCCCGCGAGTTCCTTGTAAGCCTCTGGTGCGGAATCAGGCATCACGGGTCGCAATCCACTTATAATATCGCATACTAGATCACTGTCAAATAATCTGTTTCTGAAAGGTGGTTCACCATTGGCAAATAAATACATAATAACACCAAAAGCATAAATGTCTGATTGCTGAGTAAATTTGCGAGTCCTAAAGACTTCTGGTGCAATAAAAGGTATGTTACCGTGAATAGTTGATTTACGTTCTGATGCCCGTGATTGTGAGAGACCAAAGTCACCTACTAATGTTTTAATTGAACCATCACTTCTGGTCTTAAACATGATGCTTCCACCATGAAGATTGCAATGTACCAATCCACAAAAATGTATTCCAATCAGATTCCTCACAATACTCTTCAAAATCATTAATTTCATCTTCCATGTCATCTCATTAATATTCCGATTCAAATAAGATAAAATATCACCATTATCGGCATATGGCAACACGATCATGTATTCGTTGGTCGCCGGTTGTTGTGTAACCCCGTAAATTTTAATAAAACAAGAATATCCAGTAGACTTGGCGTGATTCCTGAACTATTATTAAATGAGGAATAAACAATAAATTGGTACAGTACAACTTGTCAGAGATTGCTTACCTCGTGAATAAGTAATTCCGGCATGTGATCAAAATTCTTAAAACGTTTGAGAACAACACGTTCTTGTTCTTCGGCAAGAAATCCGTTATAATTACGTCTGGCAGTATAGATTGTTCTACAACTATCAGATACGATCTCTTGAATTCTATCAAAGTTGGTGTATTGTATAAATGCCACCTGACCATTAGCTCGCATGAATCTATCCAATACTTCACGAATCCCACGGTAGAACACCAAACAATAGTCATGGGTAGATGGGTTTTGAGTAATTCCAATAACCCAGATATTATCCGGTGTTAATATCTCTGGATAATGCTTACGCAGCTGTTTGAATAAATAACATAAAAATCGTTGCTTGAAAACACGCGATTTGACATACCTTATAATATATACTTTTTTTATACAAGTGGAAACATTTACCTGATAGAAATCGAACGACTGACTGTTCTGTCCATCAACTATCGTTTTGAATGTTACTTTTACCAGTGTATCCGTTGCTGGCTCTAACCAGATTGCTTCGTGAGTGCACCCATGATGTAATAATGTCGCCTCTTGTACATTCCTCAGTTGCGAATACTCTATCCATTGCATATGAGCATCAGCTTCACTCATCGTATCTCTCCATGATTCCATTATAAATGAATCCAGCAAATCGTTGCCGGTAGTCCAATCAAGAGGCCTTGATGTCTTACACCGAAAACAGAATGCAGCTATGTGAGGTACTAAATATTCTGCACATGCCAGACATGCACCGACTCTAGGTGTTTGTGTTATTAGACAATATTTTTGCTCCCCCGTATCGTATGTAAATCCAATAGTAATCCACTTGTCCAGATGCTGATCACACAACTGATAAAATAAAAAGCAGCATGTTAGGTCCAAAAGCCAATAAATATATTGTATAATTGAATAGTTTACCTCGTCATAATATGAATCGTCTGTCTCGTCTGTTATTTCGAGTGAAATCAGTTCAACTAATACATTACACCCAATACCAATAGATAAAGGTAGACCACGTAAGTTTGTTCCTGCTCCAAACATGGGAGCGCCACGTCCAATGCAATCAAACGGAATCCATTCTAAATAGGCATCATTTGCTGACCCCGTTTGTATTTGCGACTTTTTAATAAACTCGTCGAGCTTTTTATTATTGCTAGTCCAAGTATTAGATAATTCTTTACGGCCACAAATGCACCACACTGGACTGCATCTGAATATTCCGCATTCAGAACAGAATCCATATCGAGAGTAACAATATTGAAACTGTATTCCAGCAACCATGTAATAGTTGCTTTCATACTCGGTAAATCCCAGTATCATGCCGTTACGATAATTAAGCCATTTTGTATATCTTCTGAACTGATTGGGTAGAGTATAAACACGCTTGCATGTTGGAAGGGAGTGCTTTCTGGCAAACTCGTTTATAAATTCTGGTGTACATTTGTCATCATTTCCAAGAAGTAACAGCATAAGCCGACGGGATCCTTGTCTGCAGCGAATGATTTGGTCAGCAGTGTCTTGAAATAACTCTACGTTAGAAAATTCTGAATAATAAATCCATCGAAGACTATAATATTCCTCCGGTAAAGAGGCTTGGATCAAGCTGTCGATTGCCTGATGTCCTGACATTTTTTGCGAAACTTCAAAGTACAAGGCTTTTTGTATCACACTACTTGAATTTTTTCACACTGTATACCATAATAAATATATCTTAGCCTTAACGGGTTACCGTAGGCATGGACGCCTTTTGTACCTCCTTCTTCTGTTCCTCCCTCATTCTTTCTTATAAATCCATTACTTCTTCCCTTCCTTGACCTTCTATATCTGAAATTTATAGATTCTCCTCTACCTTGTCTTCTCCATAATAATTACAATTCATTTTTTCCATATTAATATTGATATACTGTCATAATTAACAATAACAATTTCTTTATTATTATCTTAAACATTAACTTTGTAACTATTGCTATTCAATATTATTTCATCTGCACATATTCTCTAGGCTTCTTAGCCAAGCTCTTTATTGTACCTATGTATGCCTAGCATATATGTTAAAACTAGCTCTAGCGGGTAACCGTAGTTAGACAATAAAGTTCTATATTATAAAAAAAAAAAAAAATTCCTGTTCTTGATACTGTAAACCGGAAATCCTGTGACTATCTTTAAACTAAGGAATAATTAAAGTCGATAAGCAAAAAGGTATCTTCACGTTGCGAGTAGCAACTTGTTAACTGTGATCTTTCATGCTGATGTATGTTTGTACCCACAACAAAGAAAATGTAGCTTTCTTATCAACTGCAATATGAGCGTAGAAAACTGTAAGTTCAGGCGCGGCTTTTGAAAAATTTAATTCTTTTTCCGAGCACTTTTAGTGACTGAATATGATTTGACATTGATTGTAATCTTTCCTTATTTGAAGGAGATTGAGCCTTTGCAACTATGACGTATGAAATAGCAGTAATCGTAGCAAAAAGTTGGACAAATTTAAATTATTCGTGTATGGCATGCAAGGGAGGGAGGCAAGTTAGATCAAAACTTGCAGATGTTGAGTGTAGATTACCTGGGGTTTTCTGTCTATCTTTAAATTGTAGTGAATCTTAATTTATTGTGGATGAAGTCAGTTTCTTGTTGCAATCAATCGGACTGTATGCAAATATTCCATTAGCCTTTGTATTCGGTATGTGGGATGATTATCTGCTTGAATGTTTGATAACATGTGCAGCTGTCGAATCGAAGTAAACAAACTTTTTATTCTTTAGAATGAGAAACAGGGAAGAGTGTATCTGGATGAGGCTATAACTTAATTAGTTTTTTGATTGTGTAGCTTAAAAGCTCAAGTTATTTGGGATGTACGGTGTTCTACGTAAGTAATACACATTATTGTACGCTTGATACGAAGAGAAAATTTGGGGGTGAATATTTCTTCCTAACAAGGAATACACGGAAATTGGGCGAAGTCATTTTTAGTGAGATGGGATAGAATAATCTTGCGCAATGCGGCAGAAGGACGCCAATATGAATGACTACTGACTTCGTGTAATGGAGTAAGCATATTATTGTGCGCACCGATATGCGAAATCTATGAATCTGTATTTGCATCGAGAACAATTTCGTTGGTGTTAAGGGAAAATATACCGATAACGTAAGACATTTTGATCAAGTTGTGTTATTGATTCTTTTATGAGTTTTTTATATTATTATGTCGAAAAAAGCAAGCGATAGAACTGAAATATGGATTAATCGTCTATTTTTGGGAAAATGTAATAATGATGTAATGTGTGTGTCTGTGACAGACAAACAAAATGCAGCGCTAAATTGTGGCAAGGGTAAATATAATGCTTTTACGGGAAAGGATCGGCAATTTAGTAGTCTAATTATGACGAAATTTCGTATTCTTTGGAAAATAAGCAACACCCGAAAATAAGCAACACTTCAGAATAAATAATTTACCTTTATAAATATATTCAATTGATTATTTTATTATTACAATAAAGAAAATTGTCGGAAATGATTAATCCGTGATATGAGTATCAATGATGTATCATCCTCGCCAATGACGAAGTCAGTGGTAATTTCTTTCGTTTTATTAAACTACCCGAAAATAAGCAATACTATAACAAAAAAGTGTTGCTTATTTCCAAAGAATACGGTAATAAGTATTTGTGTAATACGGGATTCCATGATTTTACCCCAAAAAATTACTAAACTTTGGAGAAGGGAGAGAGCTGCAAACAAAGAAACCCACTTCATATTAAATTGGAATGGTAATGACAGTTGTCTTCAGTGCATTTGTTATTGTAAAATATATCATGTTGTAAGTTAAGTTATTATAAGGAAAGAATACTGCGGCACATTTTCTTTCCCTTATAAATACACGTACGGTGTCAAGGCTTCCTTATGCATAACAGTTATATAAAAACGGTCGTATAAATTCTTATGAAGGGAAGTCCGCAATTGAAATGATACACGCAAATAACGAATGGGAAGGTGCCATCGACAAACCAGGTTACGTGTAACATCGGGCATCAAGTGATAAAGGGATATTTACTATACGTTAAAATAGATATTACTTCCTCATGGCAAGGTGAAAATCACATACCCAATATAAATTAATCGTCCTTCAATAAAGTGTACTTGAACATCAGTATTCGATCTCAGATACATGAAAAGAAAAGCCATTTTGTTAAAATGGGTGAATTTATGCAGCTGGAAGTGTAGCAGTAACTACCCCCACAGCAACTGTGTTGCGCTCACTTGAATCTGACCAATAAAGTTTGTCTTAGTCTAACCGGTATGTACGTCCGTTCCTTAATTGGTAAAATGATAACTTAATTGCAAAATTTTGGCCGTATAAAACGTAACCAAACCCATATTTAGTAAATCGCCAAAATTACACTATGGAGCTTCGGTCAAAGTTATGTTAACTATAACAGATGTTCTGGCAAACTCAAAAACCAAGAATGATGCGTTTCTTCGGCTGCAAGATAATTTGTCTCAAATATAGGTTCAAATACAAATACTTCATAACAACATAAGTGATTAACCTATCAACGCAACTGTCACAAAATATTCTATATTTCCGTATTGTCGGCAAATTTGCCTACAATTTGAATTCGCCAACAAAATCGCTTTATATCACTTGCAACATATTCGTATGTAATCTGTTAGTCAATATTTGTCATAGATATTCTTATAAAAAAAAAAGTCTTATCCCATCAACTCTGAGTCACATCAGACTCACAATACTTAATTCGTGAGTCGGCTCCATAAAGAAACAGATTTCAGTGAGGACATACGGAATATGATGTGAATCAGAGCAAGAAGAACGATAATAAAAGCTCTGAAGCAACAAAGCAGTAGAAGCAATGTAAGAGTTCAAGAAAAAGAAAGAATTGTGTGTAGGAGAGAGGAAGCAGGCGGGAAAGTATGACTTTAATGGGCATAAGTGTCCGTCTTCAAATGGCCATTATTACTCAATGACTGCAGCTTAGCTCATTTAAATTCTAGGATTAGATGAATTATTTTTCTTAATGGTTAACATGCATGCAAATAACATAGTGACATTGTTCTCAAAAATGCATCATAGAATTATGTGTCAAAAATTAGCCTACGGACTAAGGGATAATACACATCTATGTTAATATTTGCCATGTTACCGTTATATAATATGCGCCTTTAACTTGCAATTATTGTTCTGAAAGATTAAAGACAGTACACTAATGTTATATGAAGGAGATATATAATGACAAATTTGTGAGGCGTTGATACTGAAAGGTGAAAAAAGCTTACATGCTCATAGTCAGTAGGATGCTTAGGGTCTGCGTTGTTTACTTCGAGTAACTAACATTAGTACTTTTGTTTATTGTTACAATATGGCGCGCAATTTGTTTACTGTTCAACAAGCTTCCAACTCGGACGTACATTCCGCATCGCATAACTTACTCCATGGGCAAAACTTTTTATTGGTCAATGTCAACAGATCTTGGGCAGTTAGTTAACACCCTCTACATGTAAGTAGATAGCTAAAATGGGCTTTAGCGAGCTCGGGATAGGTAGTTAACAATGGGTGCTTTCGTCAGCTTACCTCAGGTAAGTTAAAGGGGAGGTAGTGTTCATAAGCTCTTGCCAAATAAAGTGGAACGATTTCTTTATTGTTTGACAAATTATACATGTTATTGAATAAGATAAATAGCACGATTACTGAAAATGTCTTATTTCCCCCGCAGCTTTGATTGCCAGATCTGATAGCTGTATGTATATGCACATGCATATATAGTTAGTTCACTTTCGATGATGCAATATGCACATGCATATATAGTTAGTTCACTTTCGATGATGCAATATGCACGTTTACATTATGCTTATTATTGTACAAATATAACAGTATGCAGGTGCGACAGTAAGTTGTTTCAGGGGGGGTATAAAGAAGGGAATGTGGCATTAATAGATAACGAATCGAGAACAACTTCATTGTGGATATGTCGATGATCTGAAACATTTTAGGTTATCGATATGAACGTAGTGTTGTTGGTGTGTGATAGTGATAGAATTGCATCTAGATGCAGATCCTAGAACAATATATTTCAGAGTAACCAAGGAGCGTTCGATTTATAATTAGTAAAAGATGAGCAAATTTCACGATAATTTGTGACGTTTCTAAAATCATCTCAACAAAAAAGCCACATCATTACTAAGAACGGTAATTGTAACGGGGAGTTGTTGGAATTACTGTTACTACATTGCTTTCTTTTTCTAAAGCTACATGAATCGTAAGAGGCGTTAGTCAACCAATGGTCTTTCGTACTTTATTTGAGTATTATTATGGCACTAATGTTATCTTTCGAAACCACAATATTACGCCATGTATCAATGTTTAACCTGTTTAAATTAGGTTCTATCAAATATTACCGATTGTTAAGATGCACGTTACTGCGAGTCCTGGTGTAAAATTATTACTACATTGCTAAATTAAATTGTCCCTAGTCAACCAAGTATCGTGCGCATAGTACGTTTGTTAAGTAATGTCTTTATTTTGCGTTTAATGCGATATATGACATTATTACATGTTTTATATGTGCAATATTACATCCCTGGCTTAAGCAAAATATCAAAGCTTGAATCTAAATCAGCATGTTGCAAAATTCGCAAATTCAACCCCGATAAAAAATGACGCCATTGTATCAACACTAAGAACAAAGGCCATTCTTTTGGAAGTCAATTGTTTGTGGGACAACCATAGTAAAAATTTAATCGATATGTGTACACTGTTACATTGTCAAAGCGCCCCCATAGTCTAAGTGTGATACGATCGTTGATTTGTCATTTACCTGCCAAGTCGTACAGGCTCAAATATTGTCCCTTCTCGCTTGGCAGGTATCATGGTTTCAGCTTCAGCCAAGCCTGATTATCAGCGACTAGACAAAATAGTAATTTCCAAAGTTCTCTATCAAAAAACCGCATTGTAAAACACAGGTTTACTTTTTTTTATTCACGGGTGAAAAGGTAGTATCGTGGGCAAAGAGTTGGTGCGGCAATTGCGAAGATATAGAGTCGTTAATGCGTCAGATTAAAGAACGCATATTCAGCAACCAAAACACGCAGAAAGAGATTATGTGTGTTTCCATTGTATTGACTTTTTTACCCAACCCAATTTAAAGATTGTTTCACATTGATAATAATCAACAGAGCATGGAGACTCCTTGTACTATTCAAAACCCGGTTTCTATTCTCTTCGCTTTAATCACATTACTTACACAACAGGGTGTGATACAAACAACAAATTAAGAGTCACTTGTTTTGGAACGTTGATTCCAATTCTGCGATTTCTGCGATTGTCCATAAAATGCTCGATCCAGCAACATGACACTGTCATAGCACTATCAACTTTTTTTTTTACAGAGCAGAGTTTCTCTCTCTTATTCCATTCATTTTATCCCGCCAAAAGTTCATCGCCTTATCACCATGTTCCTATTCACTATACAAAATCGCAACACATTTCTTCTTGCCCTTCCTACTCTTCTCAGTTTTCCTATATCTTCTAATTCTCAAATCTCTTCTCCCAATCCATATCCGGGACCGCGGGTTGATCATTGCGCATTCGCCTACAAAAACCGCTTTTACGTATATGGTGGTGTGGGCAATGTAAATGAGGGCAATGATAACCATTCCTACTTCAGTTACACCAATACGCCCTTCCATATAACAGATCCCAAATGGACTTCTCTGCCAGTAGCAAAGGCCACAAAAGTTAGTCGGCCAGCGTGCTCTGTTACATCAGATGGTATCTTATACGTGACTGGCGGAGCAGATCCAAGCGATAATAAGTATGCCGGCATTCAATCGTTTGATTTGAAAAAAAGTGCTTTGGGTTTCTGGGACACACCAAACACTAGGGGATTAAATACGAGTCAACATTTGTCACATCGACGTGGCCACAAGTCCATTGTCGTAAAAACGTTATCGGAAGAAGTGTTGTTTATCTTTGGAGGGTCTGAGTCGAACGATGCGTTTATTTTAAATGTAAAAAATTCAACTTGGGAGGCTGTACATACAGGGGTGAGTATGCAAATAGTAAAAGAATGTGAATGATTACGCTAGATCCATAGAGTATGGTGCGTTGATAAGTCAACCGTAGGCGCCTGTTAATGATAGTATGTCACATATAACTTGACATCCAGTTATTCTAATTATTCTCTGCCGTCATTCATCGTCTAGCCTGACGCTCCACCATCCATGGGCGCATTCGCCATAACTTCCTCTAAAGATAAAATCTATATCATTGGTACTCCCACCGAAGAGTCTGGCAGAAACCTGTGGGCATTCAATATTCCAAAGAGGAGCTGGTTTAATCCGCATATTACCGTGGATATTCCTATGAATGTCCACGTTGAGTGTGCAGGGACACTTAACAATACGATTTATTTGATTGATTCGGGTAATTCGTCATTAATGTGGAAATGGAATTTGGGTGAGTTGAAATGAAAACGTAGTTACATATTGCACGAGTTGTTGCAAATTAAAAAATCTCATGTTTTGCGCGTTTTGAAAATAAATAGCTGATAAGAGCACAACACGCTTTACGCCGGATCGTACTGGGGCTGGCCTGCAGACTTATAACTATGCTTTTGCACAGTTGCCTGGCAGCGATGTTTTTATTGTAAGCTTCTCATACTTAAACATGTCTGTACCATTATTATAGTCTATTTATATTCCGCATATTAACTTCTATATTAACATCCACTTTCAAGACCTATGGCGGGAAAACCGGGGTCAAAGCAACCGATAGCTTAGCCGCATTCAACATGACCCAAAATGTTTGGGTCACTCAAGTCAACAACTTAACTAATATACCCAACAATCAGGACCATTATTATTATGGGCTTCTTGCACCTGGTCAAGAAGATTCATTCCTGAAACCACCACTACCACAAAAGATAACTGCGGAATATGGAGCGAATCTGAAATATTCTGATCATACCATCTTTATCTGCGGACTTTTAATACTAGCAGTGGTCATACTAGTGACGGTGGTCAAGGTCATAGTTTCACGCTTGCTTTTGTATAGACGGAAAGAATATAAAAAAAAGGAGGAGGAGCTGACCATAGTGGAAACTTGTGGGGCTTTTGGAAGCAACACTGAAACTGGTTCTCAGAGGGACAGTGTGACTTATCGACCACCCAATTTTGAAGCGTCTGATTTTCGATGCGAACATTACTCGATTTCGTCAGACACAGTTTCGGTTCCCGACTTTCAAATATCTGCAACTTCACGCCTTACGGTGAAACTGAACTCTACTCCCCCTACTCCATCGTCAATTGTAAGCGAGCTCCGTCGACATAAAGTGACGTCCATGACATCCGAATCTTCATCTACTTCGATTTCTCCGTCGGCTCCAGAAGGTGCTATTCTAGATAAGTACAAACTCAAGGGGGAGCCAGCATTCGGCGTCAGCAAATCCGTTTGTTATGCAAAGGATGAGACTGTGAATGAAGACGTGATGGTAAAGTTTTTCTCAGACTATGATTCATTCGATCGCGAAGTTATGATGTTAAAGTTTCTTCGATCGAAATTCGTTGGTGCATTGCGCGGCGACGTATTCCATGTTTCCGATGCTGCTGATTGGAAATATGCTATGATCATGGACTATTATCCTATGAGCTTGGATAACCTTATCGTTAGCAGAACCGAGACTATGGATGAATTATGCGTGAAGATAGTGGTAAAGTCATTAGCACAAGCAATACAGTATGTTCATAGTCACGGAATAGTGCATCTGGATATTAAGCCGGGAAACTTTGTACACGAGGTTGGAGACGTGAACAAATGGAGATTGATTGATTTCGAGGCGGCAAGGGTTGACGGAGAAGAAGATGTTTATAAGAGTACATTAAGATATGCTCCGCGTAAGTATTGAGCAGTTATTTATATTATCGAGCCTTTGAAAGGATTTTGAATTCTGTGGCATACTGATTTTTTTTCTTCTTTAAACACAGCCGAACTAATCAATGTGGATGCATTGCGTACTAGTATTAAAGCAGATACATCGATGGACATGTGGTCGTTTGGGTGTACAATATATGAGTTGTATACTGGAAGTCCTCTGTTCTTAAATGATCAGGAGGCTACTGCTAAATTATTGGACGCATATTATACGCGGCGCTTTGAATTTCCTGTTAAAAAAGTGCCTGACGTTCAGGCACAGCATGTACTTGAGAAGTTGTTAGTCATTAATCCTCTGAAGAGAGCTTCAGTTGAGGAAATTTTAAGAGGAGCATATTTGACTGGTGGTGCTGATAGCGCTCAGGTATATATATCATCAATTCTATTATTGCTGTTGCTGTCTGTCTCCCGCCGCTTGCAAACACTCACCTCATACTTTCTTGCTTTATAAAGATATACGAGATGCAGTCAGAATCCACCGAGAGAATCATCAACACCCTAAACCAGAATACAAACGTTGTTCTTTCCAACATGCAAGAGGCCACTAATATGATATTGTCACAATTCGATGTGGTCGTGAATAGTATATCTGATACTAGAGATGCGAGCGTCCCCCGCTTGTTCATGTTATTACCAGGAAAAAAGCCTCACTCAGTGTTCAAGCCAAAGGCTTGGGGAAAGAATACATTCGTAGTCCACATTCTTTGTGAAGGTCATGCTTCTGATAATAGCAAAGCCCATTTCACTGACCATCCTGGCTACATGGTATGTTTATTCAATGACATATGTTTTTGACAAGATATACAAAGCGGTTCGCACTTATTAATATTGTCTATATGTTTGTTCAGATACTTAATCCGAAACCGTTTCTTGCCAAGGTTGGCCCATACCTCTGTATCTTGGCCACTCTCATAGGCTCGGCTGTCAGTTTATTTACAGGACTGCAACTGTCGGACAAAATAACAGCCAATATATCATCTGGCCCTATTGATTACTTTAGAAAAATAGGCGAAGTTATTGACGCAATAGAAACGGATGGGTCTGTTACAAGAGATTTAGCAGCAGTTCAGAACGATCCACTCAATAAGATGATATCAGCGCAAGGCCCTGCACTGCGTGAATTTAAAGCGTTCCTGTCTGATAACGATCCTTTGCGCGAATTCGGTGGATTGCATCGTATTACCATGAGTGATGGACGATGGCGATGGGTTTGTGATAGTTGCAAGGAAAGAGCACATGGAAACCACGGATATTAGAATTGTAGGTGGCTATATAGTTGCGATATGAGTTATTAACAGAATTGATATATTATAATATTAATGTGTACAGTTGAGAGTATCAATAGATATAATAATCTAGTTAGTCTTTATTGACATTACAGTCGAACGTAAAAGGAACACAATTGGACACTTATAGTGCCGTTCTATTATAGTCATTATTCACTTATCAAAATAATAGATAAATTTGATATTTTCTAAATAAATTACACAGTGAAATTCACTTTAACGAAATCTCACTTGAACGAAGATGGCTTATAACGAAGTATTTTTCTGGAACCAGTTCGAAGATTTATATATAGAGTTATATAACGTTGAATGAAGAATTCACTTGGGCGAATTTATCTGTATAACTCGAGCTTGAGTTGTGAGGGGCTTCGCCCCTTTTACTTTTGTGATTGCGTTTCTGGTTAGAACTTGAAATTTTAAAGCGGCCCGTCTTATAGTTTAGTGTAATAGTTGGATTATTAGATTTTTTGATAGTCGGAGTGAAATTTACGTGTCTAACGCGAGTGTTAAAATGGTATTGAGAGTTAGGCGGTCAGATGTCTTATTTATTAAGAGTCGTATTGTCAGATTGGAATAATTCTGTTTCAATCCTGACTTACTACTATGTCAAGTTTGTTGTATGCATACTAATATTACTCGAATAAAGTACGGAAGACATTGGTTGACTAACGCAATTTACTAGTAAAACATATGAAAAAACCTTTTGAAAAAATCTCTCTTTCTGCAAACACTATACATGGCAATAATTTTTATATGGTTTTGAAACTAATTGACTGTGCTGTTTGAAAAAAATAACAGTAAATTTTAACACATTATTATAAAGTTGTAGCTAGATAAATTGTTATGAAATGATAGTTATATAAAAATATACTAATCCAGATACCTGTTATATGTGAGATTAATAATAATAATCATTAAATTTTACTGTTATTTCTTTTTTCAAAAGTGCCGTCAATTACTTTCAAACCCATATAAAATTTATTATCACTTAGTAATAGTGTTTGCAAACAAGAGAGATTTTCGAAAAAAAAAAGTTTTTTCTTATGTTTTACTAGTAAATTTTAAAACAATCCCAGGCAATTCATTGGTTGACATACAAACGATCTTTTTGGGAAATCTTATACATTACCCAAGGGCTGAATTTCTTTTCCCCGTGTTAGTCTTAAGACATCATTCCGTCAATAAAAATAACATACTCTCCTAACCGTTCAAAGAAATATATTACCGACAATCATGCTTTGTTGCACACCTATGAATTAATACTGCGTTCAAGTTTCGCACTCAAGAAACTAAAATGTCTCAAATCATCGAATTTAACTGAAAACAATTGGCATCTCTATTCTTGAATTCTATGTCAAGCCTTATTGTTACACCAGAAATTTTGAATGTCGCTTCAAAACAAAGTTTGCTTTGCGCGTTATAATTGATTATTTTACACATTGGTTACCAATCAATGCGCTATTTATTATCAGAAATGACTTGTATGATCTGACAGCTGAACTAATGCTTGCTGAGTATACAGAGTGTAGAAGTAACATAACCAAACTAAACGCTGAGAAAAAGTATAGAAATTAACAAAATGCATTCAATAAGATTATATTAAGCAAGAGTAATATAAACAAAGAAGAGCGTTATATAATTTTTAGACATAAATCCTGTTATTAACGAATAAACACTTTGACTCATTGAGAGTTAAAGTTTGAATAGACAATACAATAAATAAAAATACGAATACGAGCCTAAAGTTTCAAAAATTTTGGTTTAACTCTTAAAAGCAAATACGAGTATTTGTTAGATTAATTAACACCCATGAAACTCTTCGCATAACTAACCAAAACAATATTACTGTGAGAAATATTAACATTACAGATTACGGCTAATACTAATCTGCTATCATAAATTATGAGCTATATGATAACATGTTTAGCACGATAAACTTCAGATTAAAGTAATCACGCGTTTTGGTTTGCATCTCCCTGTAAAAACGTTCAATCTAGATTGTGATGATGTTTTTGTGGCATCTCCAACTAAAAAAGCGATATTACGTTTATGTCATACATTAAGTGATTGTAACGGGGGGTAATTACTACTTTATTCTAAATTTACATAATCGTTAGTTAACTAATGGTCTTTCGTAATTGCTTTGTTAGAATAAATTTGATACGGAGACTGTGATACAACGATATATCGTATGTGTATTTCAAATATTCATAATTAATTTGGAATAGCTTATAATGATGGCTATATACTTAGCCCGGGATAGAACGTAATATCCAATGACTATATAGATAGTTCCTTTTTTTCACGTATTTGATAAATGATGTTATATACATCACTGATATTGCACATCAAGGCGTAGAATTGAACATAAGTTGCTTAATGCAGAGGGGGGAGGATAAGGAAAATTTATTGGTTTAGAGACGTTTTAGTGTCGTTCTTTAAATGGTATGAATGATGTCGTAAGACCCAAAGGAAAGAAGGTGTGTGGTACTTGGGTGGTGGCCGGTATATAAGATTTTCCAAAAAATCTACACAAAGAAATACACCTTAACGGGGCATCAGGGGAAAATTAAAAGAAGTTGGTGATATTACAAGTGATAGCGTTGAAATTGTACCTAGGTGCTTACGATTTTTATAACACAGATTAAAGTAAAGCTCACATTATAATTATAGTTCATGTTCACGTAAAAACGTATTTAACCTCGGAATACCCAAGATTTGTAATTAGCCGATATTTTGTAAGTATCTTGAGCAAAAAAAAACTACATTACGATTATGTCATACATTAAAAACGACGGGAACAGTAATAGTAATTGTAACGAGTAGATATTGAAATTACTACATTGCCTTTCTTTGTTCCAAATTTACATAAATCTTGGGAGGCGTTAGTCAACCAATGGTCTTCCGTACTTTATTCGAGTACTATTACAGTCATCCTTCGTTTATATTCCCACTTTGGAGCGGAGACTTTCTTATTCTAGGGATTATCTGAAGATATACCATATATTTATTAATTGAGTAATACAAGAAATTTATTGGTTAATATGTACTTATATCATGCATATATCTTATTATGTTATCTTCCGTTGTAAATTCCTTTGTTCTAAAAATTGTTTCGCAGTCTTAAGCGCCTAAACATGCGAGATAAGGAAAATTAAAGGGGAAGAATTGAACGTAAGAAAAGAGATGGTCAGAGGTAACTGTACTGTAGCTTTACTTTTTCAAAACGATACTATTTGTCCATTGCCTTTTTGTTACATAATACAGTGATAAACAAATCAATTGTTTATCATAACCAATAATCAATAAAAACTGTAACATTTGCATGATACAATTCACTTTGTCTTGTTTTAAGCAATAAATTAACAAAGATCTGGTAGCAAATGAACATTGAAAGAAATTTCACATAAGCGCACAGTCCAAACTTGTATGCCAACTAAAAATTTAAGAGACGATGTTTTATGTAACACGAATGTGCATAGTAAGGTGGGATATAAACGATAATAGATTCTATGAGATACGATATTGGAATATTGGGGATAGGGATATATCTGAGTAGGATGCACCGAGAGAAATTTATATTGAGATACAATAGGGGATACAAATGAGGGATGACTGTATAGCATTAATGTTATCTTTCGAAACCACGTATAGTACTACTCCATGTATCAATGTTTAACCGGTTTAAATTAGGTTAAGATGCGTGTTACTGCAGTCCTGGTATAAAAATAGACTACACTGCTTGAGCGACGTTGCGCACGAAAACCAAAATTGGAATGTGAACACCAAAACTGGAGATGTTCATGTTTGTTTGTGTATGTAATGTTTGTTACCTTTTTGTGCACAGTTTTAGCATAGTACAAGATATATCGAGATGTCGTAATTAACTGTGAAACGGAAGCTTAATCATGAACAAATATTGTACAAGTTGATAGGACAGATTTAATACAATGGATGAAGGTTATGTCTGCGGTCCAGATTATTGACCTTGTTATACTAGACTGGCATCTTCAATTTGAATAAAGTCTTCCGTACAACAAAACTGATGATGTTGATTTGGACTCTAATGTTCAGCGACAATATCTTCATCATACGAAATCCAATACTTACTAGCCTCGTTCTTGAGTTGTTGGAATCGGATGACTGAAGGACATCAAATCAGGGACCGTATCACATTGGACTTGCCATTTAGGTATGCTAATAATGAAAATAGGTCATTGTTTTAATGGAAATGACGGTCGGTAATTCCATTCACACACAAAGCTTCTATGACAAGGTTTGCCACTGAATTATTCAGCATTGTCGCTATAATAATTGTGCCATTTTTTATACCAGGACTCACTCGCAGAAATATGCATCTTAGCAATCGATGGCAGATTTTTGCAGCAGGTAATACAGTCAGCTGATTTGACATAGTCAAAATTCTGATATTCGCGGCTAATATTAAGAAGAACCTAATTAAACTGGTTAACACATTGATACACAGCATGTGGGATAGTTCATATCATCGCCGGCAATACTATAATAGTAAGACAAATGTACTCTAACAAAGCAGTTACAAATGACCATTGGTTGACTAACGCTTCTTACGATTCATGTAAATTTAGAACAAAGAATGCAATGTAGTAATTCAATATTTACCCATTACAATTACTGTTCTTGGACAATCCCGTAATTTAATGTATGACATAATCGTAATATCGCTTTTTTGTTGAGACATCTAAGCCCCTTACTAGTTGTCCACTCGGATTATTCGCTGGTTATTAACGAGCGTCTTACAAAAAAATGCAAACTACAACGTGCGATTACTTTAATCTGAAGTTTATTGTGCCACACACGCTACATCTAGCTCATAATTTATGATAACAGATAAGCCGTAATCTGTAATTTCAATATTTTTCACAGTAATATTGCTTTAGCTGAGTTATCTGAAGAGTTTCATGGGTTTGAAAAACGGTTCTGTTTTAACCAAAACAAGCAAAATGTCTGCAAATACTAATTTTAATACTCAAAAATACAAATAATTCAACCAAACCAAGATTTGAAACTTTAGGATCATGCTCGTATTTCTGTTGGATTGTTTATTCAAACATGAACAATATTATAGCGTGAACTCCATAATAGCATATATGGTAAACTTGCTGCTTATGATTGCATCTGGAATTCTCAAAATTTGAAAGGCTAATATGAATGTTGACAAATATACCCTGCAAGTGAAAACTCTTTATCAAAATAATGGATATATCAATCGTTATGATATATAGGATCCCAATATAACAGCGACAAATCTTAATGGTAACGGGAATGCCCCTACTTGTCAATAAAGCTATCCAGCAGCAATTGTTTCTTTGATTGAAATGCAACTAGTTCAAAAATTCTAAATTGATATTATCTTGTTGCTCGAACAATTGCATAACCTCGGCAGCTTTGCAGGCTTTCCATCAAGACTGGTTGCAAGCTACCTTTTTTTTATACAAGTTTGCTGTTCTTCAGTGTATGTTTTTTCTTCTTGTCAGACATAGCTGACGTTCTGCGCGTTTGTTAAAGATTTCCTTTAATAGACTTGGCTTTCTATAAATTACGTTTCTACATGTTAAATATTCATTGTATACCCTATTGACCAACCAAACAACCATATTAATCCGTCCTCGCAACTAACGCGAGTTACTATAAAATTTCATTATAATAATAACGAACGATTTTAACTGTGACCAAAAAGAAGTTCTTTTGCAATGCGATTCCATTCTAACGTAGGTCTATTGTGACAAACTTTGACTGTTTACTGATAATAAAAAGTGCATTACTGTGGGGTTTTTTTAGCAACTAGTGTGCTAAATAATCAATTATAATGCGCAATAATAAGGCTGACATGGAAATATATGTCAATTGCTTTCAGGTGTATTTGGTTAAATCAATTATGCAATCGATGAACAAAATGCAACTGAAAAGGTTTTTAGGGCGTCACATAATGCATCAAATTTACTTTTTCCGTTTTTCATATAACGATAGCGATAGCTTTTTAATCATTCGATAATCCTCCGTATAAAATAATTAGGGTAATTAATCTAAAAGCATAACCCACTGCTCTTTGTTTTTATATTTATTTATCGTTATTATTCAAATTAATCTTTTGCTTATATTCCTCCGTCACTTGGACAAAATCTTCATCTTTTAAATCACTCACCAAAGTTTTTAACATGATAAATATTATCAGCTTAAATATGCCGACTGCATTTATAATCCGGCATAGCATAATATTTACCGGGTCCTAAATGGTCGCGGTTAGAAGTAATTAAAGCATGATATCAATAAAAAAATCAAATTTAATAATGATTGAATATTATAGTTTTTTTTTATTTGTATTTGAGACAAATTATCTTGCAGCCGAAGAACGCATCGTTTTCTTGGTTTTTGAGTTTGCCAGAACATCTGTTATAGTTAATATTAATATAACTTTGACCTAAGTTCCATGGTGTAATTTTGGCGATTTATGCTGTGGCCGAGTTGACCATCGGACGTACAGTACATTCCGGTTAGCTAAATTTTGCATTCCATCAGACAAACTTATTGGTCAGATTCAAGTCAATGTCATGTGAGCGCAACACGGTTGCTGGGGTAGTTATCATTTGTCCGGAACAGTCTTTAGGTTATTGCAACAAAAATGGCATAGATATTGTAGGGCTTCTAACAGGCAACTCGTCTTCCTCATTATTCTGATTTTCATTATCTTCTAGCATAACGTCTATATAAATTTATATCCCGGATTAAGTACGTGTACGAGTAATGATGCGATTCTTCTCTCCAACAATGACAATTATCTTAGATGAATTTCAAACGAGAATACATAATCATCTAACACTGAGAGTCAGAATAAGATTTGATAATTCAACGATTGCAGAAATATTAGAGATGAATATGAAAATGCAAGCCCGGGTGACTGATGCCAATCGTTTGTGGAAAGACTTATTAATCTAAAAACTTACATTATGACTACATGCGTCAAGTACTGGCTTGACAGATTAAATGGATTATTTATTTAGAAAGATTAAGTGAAGTGTTAAGTCGACTCTCGAAGGAAATCGAATACCACCCGTTCTGTAATGTGAAAATTAGACGTTCAATAAATGCGCAATCAAGCTTTTAGTTAGTCGTGTAATTTTTATTGTTGTCTCGTGATAACTTGTTCCGCGGGACATTTCCACAAAATTCGAAAATGATTAGCAAGTTTAGCTTGTTCCGTGATCGCTATCTGGCGGGACATTTTAAAATCGATATTATTCCGTGACTTATAACATTGTTTTGTCACGTCAATGATAAAATCTCGCACTTACATAACTATCGTTGCCACACACATTTTAACAAAATGGCTTGTACCTGAGATCGAATACTGATGATGTTCAGTAGTATCTATTTAGGAAGGAATATTCAATAAGTTTACCCCAATTTTCTCTGCGTACAATAATGTGCGTTAGAACACTCATCCCAAAAAAACTCGAGCTTCTTAAATCAACCGCCGTATTTACGAAAATCACTCTTAACTGTTAACTGCCCAATCAAAGAACTAATTAAATTATAGCCTCATCCAGATACACTCTCCCCTGTTTCTCATTCTAAAGAATAAAAAGTTTGTTTACTCCGATTCGACAGCTGCCGAATACAAAGGCTAATGATTGATTTGTCCAGTCAACCATCCCGTGATCTCGGGAAAAAAAAAGATCAGTATTAATCGCCAACCAAAATCAACAATCCAAGAAACTGACTTCATCCACAATAAATTAAGATTCACTACAGTTTAAAGACAGAAAACCCCAATATTCAGTTCAAATAATTTCACTATAATAACAAATATGACAAGCACGGTTTGGCAGATGAAATAGAACGATTAAGTAGATAAATGATGGTGTCGGTTACTTAGAAGATTTTATAAACAATTAGTCAATGAGTTTAATAGATCGTATAAAGATACAATGATGAAAAGAAAGAACACGGCAGCAAAATGGTCGAGTTATAAACAATTTAGTCAATGAATTTAATAGATCGTAAAATATTATTCGCCAAAAATTACACAGAAAACGTATGTATCGAAATGTCATTCTTATGAAATAGAACGAGCGGGAATATGAATGATGTTAAACGATAGTAGTTACTTGGAAGATTTACAATTGATCCGCAAATCTGTGAATAAACTATGACATAAATTTTGGGCCCTGTATTAGCGTTGATGTAAGGACATCTATTTGGACAATTAATGCATCTATTATGTTGTGAGATAAATATTTATAAAAGAACACAGTCGGGATAGCCAAATTATATTCTATGCCATATCATTTCGCATTTGAGTGTTGTCTTTACAGTGGCAACGGCCCTCAACAAAGTTCGTGCTCGTAGAACGTTTGTCGAAAATTTTGACGAGACATGGCATTTGTATTTATTTGTGGGTGAAATGCTTAGAGAATAGTGTAAGGGTAATAAAAATTATGTTACATAAATCAGACGACAAAGCAAGATGATTTGGAAAGTTTAAACAATAGTAAAGAGACGTTAGTAAAAGTACATATGGTAGCGCTATTGTCGTGTAAGTGAGTGATGGTTTCTGCCACTTACATAAGTTATCAAGGGAAAAATATGTTGTGGCAAGTCAGGACCGAGTTTCTTTTAGAATGTTTACTTTTAAACGCATGCGAACGGGTTGATCAGCAAAATTAAGAAATTCCCCCACAGGCTTAAATAAATTTACATCGAATTTGTTTTCTTCATCACGCGAATTGTGGTGAAATCTATGTTAACGAGCATTTTTATAATTATTTGCGATTACATATGAATAAAAAATTAGCGATGTGTTGACGAGTATTATGCGCGCGCGTAGGAGATGGGCGACAAAAGAATGATAAGAATTTCAGGCAAGAGTGGATAGTGGCGTATTTCAATCTGTCATCGTTGGACAAAGGTAAATATTTGAGTAATTGATAAGGCAAAAGCTTTTTGGGTTAGTGGCGTATTTCCAAGTTTAGTGGAGGTAGAAAACAATCGTTTTTTTCAAAAATTGAAATTTAAACTGAGAGATCAAACTTTTTACTTGACAAAATCAATCAGTGAACGCTGTCTGTGGTTAAATTGCGTTATTTTATTTGTTATCGTATGGTATAACAACAAAAGAACAATTGTTCTCAAAAGGAATCAGCGAACGTTCTCTGTCGTGAAATGGTATAACGACAAAGAGTTGTTTTTTTAGGGGAAAGGGCGCATTTCTAATCAGGTGAGGTATAGTGTTGAGGTGTAAACATATTGTGGCTATAGAAATAAAAAGGGAATACAATGATACCGTAGATGGTACGGAGACTGTAATGCAGCGATAACGTTTATCGGAAAGGCTCTTATGTGCATTTCAAATATTCATAATAAATTTGGAATGGTTTATGTGCGGCTTAAACTAAATCGTCATATGTGAAATAATGACTATATACTTACCCCGGGATAGAACGTAATATTCAATGACTAGATAGTTCTTTTTTTTTTTTTCCCACGTATTTGATAAATGATGTTATATACATCATTGATAAAGAAAATTATTGGTTTGAGATATTTTATTTTTTAAGCCAATAAGAAACATGAACATAATGTTGTTCGTTATATTTCTTTAAATGGTATGTTTTTTTATTGACGGAATAATGTCGTAAGACCCGAAGGAAAGAAGGTGTGCGATGCTTGGGTGGTGGTGGTATATAAGATTTTCCAAAAATTAAAAGAAGTTGGTGATATTACAAGTGATAGCGATGAAATTGTACCTAGGTGCCTACGGTTTTATAACACAAACTAAAGTAAAGCCCACATGTTCATGTAAAATGTATTTAACCGCCGATGAATACCCAAGATTTGTAATTAGCCGATATTGTGTGAAGCAAGTCAAGCAAAAAAACTACATTACGATTATTATTATGTCATACATTAAAAACGACGGGATCGTCCAAGAACAGTAATTGTAACGGGTAGATTTTGAAATTACTACGTTGCCTTTCTTTGTTATAAATCTTGGAGGCGTTAGTCAACCAATGATCTTTCATCTGTTTTACTATTATAATAATACAATAATATGAACTATCCCACATGTATAGTACAATATTACTGTTTGGCAATCAAAGGCAGGCGAACCGGGAAAGTAAATCGCAATTTAAACTGGGTAACATGGCACTATGAGATAATATCATATCGCATTAAATGCAAAATAAGAATTACTTCCATAATAGCTGACAGCGTACATTATTGGTTGTTAGTAGCAGCTGAGTGATATTCCGCTTGCAGCTTGAGAACCTAATTCAAACCGGCTAACACATTGATACATGCATATTACTGCAAACGCATCGCAGTATAAAAATGACGCCATTGCATCAACAAGAACTGCAACTAACTCTTTTCCTTGTTCAATTTTCGCACTAACCTTCAAATACCCGTTTATCGTAAATTTTCGTCGTGAAACAACATTGTACGAAAGTTTCATCATCATGGAAGTGTCTCGAACAAGTTTGAAATAAAGAATCGAGATATATTGACATCTTTCTGTAATACTAAAAATGTAATCAGTGCAACAACACTGTATGTCGGAGAAAATCTCCGTCAAGACTCTATTTTAAAATCACTTAAAGAATGTAACGTCTTGTACGACAAAGCCCGCAGACAAAGATTTTTGTTAAAGCTTCGTTCATTGTGTGAACTGAAACAGGAGCATGCGGTTTGTCGAGACTCACTTGTACTATGAAAAAAACCGGTTTAGAGATGTCCTGTCTTTGACCACATTGCAACGTGCGATAAACAAACTAATTAACAGTTACTTGTTTTGGAATGTTGATTCCAATTCTGCGACTCCTCCATTTGTCCATAAAATGCTCGACAATATCCTCTTGACATTAGCAACATGATATCGTCTTAGCACTATCGACTTTTTTTTTTTTACATCGCAGGGTTTTCTCTCTCTTATTCCGTTCATTACTCTGGGAGTAAAAAGTTCATTGCCTTATCACCACCATGTTCCCATCCACTCTGCATAATCCCAACACATTTCCTTCCGTCTTTCTTCTTGCCCTTCTTACTCTTCTCAGTTTCCCCATCTCTTCTAACTCTCAAACCAGTAATATCGATCCAGCTCCGGGACCACGGAGTGATCACTGTGTATTCGCCCACAATGGCAGCTTTTACGTATTTGGTGGTGTGGGCAATGTAAATAAGGGCAATGATAACCATTCCTACTTTAGTTACATCAAAGCGCCCTTCGATGTAACAGATCCCAAATGGACTTCTCTGCCAGTAGCAAAGGCCACAAAAGTTAGTCGGCCAGCGTGCTCTGTTACATCAGATGGTATCTTATACGTGACTGGCGGTGATCCAAGTGATAATAAGTATGCCGGCATTCAATCGTTTAATTTGGAAAAAGGTCAATCGGGCACTTGGGACACACCACCAAAAACTAGGGGATTAAATACGAGTCAATATTTGTCGCATCGACGTGGCCATAAGTCCATTGTCGTAAAAACGTCATCGGGAGAAGTGTTGTTTATCTTTGGAGGGTCTGAGTCGAACGATGCGTTTATTTTAAATGTAACAACTTCAACTTGGAAAACTGTAGATACAACAGGGGTGAGTATGCAAAATAGTAAAAGAATGTGAATGATTACGCTAGATCCATAGATTATGGTGCGTTGATAAGTCAACCGTAGGCGCCTGTTAATGATAGTATGTCACATATAACATATGAGATTAATTTGACATCCAGTTATTCTAATTATTCTCTGCCGTCATTCATCGTCTAGCCTGACGCTCCACCATCCATGGGCGCATTCGCCATAACTTCCTCTAACGATAAAATCTATATCATTGGTACTCCCACCGAAGAGTCTGGCAGAAACCTGTGGGCATTCAATATTCCAGAGAGGAGATGGTTTAATCCGCATATTCCCGTAGATATTCCTATGAATGACGTTAAGTATGATGCAGGGATATATAACAATACAGTTTACTTGATTTCGTCATCGTCAATGTGGAAATGGAATTTGGGTGAGTTAAGAGTGAAACGTTACACGAATTGATACACAGTACTAATCCGAATTTCGCGTAGTTGATAACCATACTGATACACAAGCCCGTACTGGTCTGCAGACTTATGATTACACTTTTGCACAGTTGCCTAACGGCGCTGTTTTTATTGTAAGCTTCTCATACTTAAAGGATGTCTAGTCTATACCATAATTATTATCTCCTGCATATTAATAATTAACTTCTATCCATTCTCTCAAACTAATTTCAAGACCTATGGCGGGAAAACCGGCTCCAAAGCAACTGATACCTTAGCCGCATTCAACGTGACCCAAAATAATTGGGTTACTCAAGTCAATAAACCCGATCTTCCCCATGATCCTCCCCAAAATCCTCCCAATGATCCTCCGAATACCGGTATCAACAACAACTACAACAAAGTTATATTAGTATTAGAATGTGGAATACCGCCGTTAATACTATTGGCGGGCATAGTTTCAGGCTTGTGTTTGTATAAACGGAAAAAAAATAAAAAAGAGGAGGAGGAAGAGCTGACAATAGTGGAAACTTGGGGGGCCTTTTTTGGAAACAACACTGAAACTTTTCAGAAGGACATTGAAACTGGTTTTCGGAAGAGTGCTGAAACTGATTCTCAGAGAGACAGTGTACAGATCTATCGACCACTCAATTTTGAAGCGTCTGGTTTTCGACGTGAACGTTGCTCAATTCCGTCAGACACAACTTCAGTACCCGACTTTCAAACATCCACAACTTCACATCATACGGTGAAACCGAACTTTACCCTCCCTACTCCATCATCAGTTGTAAACGAACTCTGCCCTCGATATAAAGAGACGGCTTTTCCATCGGCTCCAGAGGGTACTATTCTATCTAACCGATACAAACTCAAGGGAGAGCCAGCATTCGATGTCAGCAAATCCGTTCGTTATGCAAAGGATGAGACTGTGAATAAAGACGTGGCGGTAAAGTTTTTCTCAAACAAAGATTCATTTGATTGCGAGGTTAAGATGTTGAGATCTCTTCGATCGGACTTTGTTGGTGCGTTGCACGACGCATTTGACATTTCCAATCCCACTTATTGGAAACATGCTATGATCATGGACTATTATCCTATGAGCTTGGATGTCTTTATCCTTAGCAGAACCGATAGCTTGGATGAATTGTACGTGAAGATGATAGTGAGGTCATTGGCACAAGCAATACAGTATGTTCATAGTCACGGAATAGTGCATCTGGATATTCATCCTGGAAACTTTGTACACGAGGTTGGAGACATAAACAAGTGGAGATTGATTGATTTTGAGTCGGCGAGGGAAGATGGAAAAGAAGATGTTGATATCAGTACATTGGGATATGCTTCGCGTAAGTAGCATTCTACCGAGCCTTTGAAGGAATATTTATTTCCGTAACATACTGATTTTTCTTTCTCTTAACACAGCCGAACTAATCAATGCAAGTGCATGGGGTACTAGTATTAAAGCAGATACATCGATGGATATGTGGTCGTTGGGGTGTACGATATACGAGCTGTATACTGGAAGTCCTCTGTTCTTAAATGATCAGGAGGCTACTAATAGATTATTGGGCGCATATTATACGAAGCACTTTGAATTTCCTGTTAAAAAAGTATCCGACGTTCAAGCACGCCACATACTCGGGAAGTTGTTGGCCGTTAATCCTATGGAGAGGGCTTCAGTTAAGGAAATTTTAAAAGGAGCATATTTGACTGGCGGTGCTGATAGCGCTCAGGTATATATATCATCAGTTCTACTATTTTTGTTGTTGTCTGTCGTCTGCCGCTTGCAAACACTCATCTTATGCTTTCTTGCTTTAAAGATACGCAATATGCAGTCAGAATCCACCCAGAGGATCATTAACACCGTACACCAGAGTACGAACGTTCTTCTTTCCAACATGCAAGAGGCCACTAATATGATATTGTCACAATTCGATGTGGTCGTGAATAGTATATCTGATACTAGAGATGCGAGCGTCCCCCGCTTGTTCATGTTATTACCGGAGAAAGAGTCTTACAAAATGTTTAAACCATACGCTTGGGGAAAAAATACATTCATAGTTCACATTCTTTGTGAAGGTCTCATTGCTGATAATAGCGAAGCCCATTTCACTGACCATCCTGGTTACAAGGTATGTTTTGCCAAAAACGTGCGAATACGATGTTTTCAATGCAGTCGCGTTTATTAACAAGACCAATATTTTGTTACAGATATTACATGCAAACCAGTTTCTTGCCAAGGCTGGCCCATACCTCTCTATCTTGGCCACTCTCATAGGGGAGGCTATCTGTTTGTTTACAGGAATAAGAAAAATCCCTTTTAAGACAGACATCGACAGGATAGTGTCCAATCAAAGTAAATACTTCAATCAATTATGTGAAGCTATTAACCAGGTAGAAACAGATAAGTTTGTTGCAAGCAATCTAGAAGCAGAACGTGATCCAGTGGAGTGGATGAAATATGCACAAGACGCTGCACTACGTGAATTTAAAGCGTTCCTGGAAGTGAATGATCCTTCGGGCGAATTCGGTGGATTGTGTAGTATTACCATGCGTGATGGACGATGGAGATGGGTTTGTGATAGTTGCAAGGAAAAGGCAGATCACGGACATTAGTTGTAATTTTAGCTATTAACAGATTTGAATATTATAATAATTAATGTGTATAGTTGAGGATATAATAATAGTGGGTCTTTATTGACATTATAGTCGAACATTCGTAAATGGACACTTGTAGTGCCGTTCTATTATAGAGTTTGCTAGTCATACTTATTGAAATCATATTAAAGTTTTCATCACCTAACAACTTTCTTAACGATTGATATACGTGAGTAATTGTAATTACGGTTGCATTTTGTTCAAAGTATACCTGAAGCAATCTCGGCATATCTAGTTTTTAACACACCAGTTGCAAAAATCTACATCAATGTGCTACTTAATATCAGAAATGACTTGTAATCTGACTTTTTCCAATTTAATCGCCAAGCGAAAGAGAGATAATCCCCTTTTTAGTATATATCTTTTTGGAATAAAAAGGATTCTTGGCGGGTTGACTTTTTTGGGACTTTGGCAATTAATTTATCTTGTCACTGCCGAAACTTGAAGCTAAAGAAATTAAAATAGTTTCCGAAATTATTCTTTTTGTAACTTGTATCACTTGGTAATCCATAGGTTGACGCCGAAAAAAAAGTACAACCTTTAACAGAATGCATTCAATAAGTAAGTAAAACCATAACAAGTAAGTAATACAAACAAAGAATAGCGTTATACAATTTTCGGGCCAAACAGTTAGTAAACCATGCTACTAACCGAGTAAACACTTTGACTCATTGTGAGTTAAAGCATGACGAACAGGAGCCCGGAGTTTCAAATTTTTGCCTTTTGATCATGAGAAAATAAATTAACACGAGACTGTTTTATTATTATCAAACCATCATATAAATATTACCGTGAAATTACAGATTACGACTTATCATGATAAGATGTTTAGCACGATAAATTCATCACGCTGCGGTTTGAATTTCCCTGACGGGGCTTAGATGTGACATCTCCCAAAGTATCTCAACAAAAAAGCCACATTACGTTTATGTCATACATTAAACAAGAAGAACAGTGATTGTAAGGGGTAATTACTACATTGCTTTCCTTGTTCTAAATTACATGAATCGTAAGAGGCGTTAGTCAACCAATGGTCTTTTGTAATTGCTTTGTTCGAGTACATTTGCTTTACTAATATAGTATTGATATTATCTCCGAAACCACTTGCGGTTTAACATGATGATATGAACTATCCAGCATATGCTTGAACTATCCCACATGTATAGTACAATGTTACGCCATTACAATTATGCCATGTATTGATGTTAATGTGCTAACCCCGGTTTAACTTGGGTATTACTGCTACTTGCTTGCAGCAAATATCTGCCGTCGGTTGCTAAGATGCGAGTGAGTCCTGGTGTAAAAAAGGCACAATTGTTATAGTGACAATGTCAGTGGGGATGGTATTACGTCATTTCCATTAACGATTATTTAACGTTAACAATGACAAGCTAGTGTGATACGGGCTGTCCGATTTCAACTGTTACCGTTATATTGTATTCCATTCGCAGCCAATTTTGCGTCATATTTCTACTACAAGAACGAGGCTAGTAAATCATTACAGTCAATGAATGCAACAAAATGGATGAAGACAAAGATTGATGTTCTTTCAACGCAAACAATGAACAGCTAAATTTTAATCTTCAGCCATTGTACTACATCTGTTCTATCAACTTGTACATGGTGAAACGGGTGCCATTATAGACACCAATTATCGATAAATAAACTGTCATATCAATTCCTCGAATAGGCAAGGTGCATTCCTTGCACAAAAAGGTAACGTTACATACGATAAACAAACAAACTGAACATCCAGTTTAAGGATTCAGATTCCAATTTTGGTTTCCGTGCGCAACTGCTCTGGTTCCATAAATACTCGAGATATCCTGCCAGCATTAACAACATTCTTTTTTTTTATCCCTCCTTAGGTATAGAGCAGAGTTTCACTCTTTAATTAACCCGGGGCTACCCACTCAATTTCCTCCTTCCCACCATGCTCTCGTCCACCATGCATAATTTTAATACATATCCTTCGGTCTTTCTTCTCTCCATTCTCACTTTCCTCATTTTCCCCATCTCTTCTAACTCTCAAACCGATCCAGCTGGACCACAGATCAATTACTGTGTATTCACCTACAATAGCAACTTTTACGTATTTGGTGATGAGGGCAATAATAACCATCCCTACTTTGTTTACACCAATACGCCCTTCGATGTAACAAGTTCCCCATGGAATTTTACGCCAGTAGCTAATGCCACAAAAGTCTTTCGACCAGCATGTTCCGTTACTTCAGATGGTATCTTATACGTGACTGGCGGAGTAGACATAGACAATGGTAAATACATCGTCCAATCGATTGATTTGAAAAGCAGTATTTTGGGCTCTCGGTACACGCGTCAATGTTTGTCGAATCAATGTGATTTTAAATCTATTGTCGTAAAAACGTCATCGGAAGAAGTGTTGTTTATCTTTGGAGGGTCTGAGTCGAATGATGCGTCTATTTTAAATGTAAGGAATTTGACTTGGGAAACTGTACCTAATGGGGTAAGTGTGCAAAATAGTAATAGAATGAGATTGATTACATTAGATCCATAGATGCTGATAAGTCAACCGTAGGCGCGCCTTGTTGATGATAGTAATTTTTTCTCTCTGTCATTTATCGTCTAGCCTGACGCATCGTTCATAGACGTACACGCTATAACATCCTTTGAAGATAACATCTATATCATAGGTACTCCAACCAAAGACTCTGGCAAGAGCATATTAATATGGGCGTTTAATATTCCGAAAAGGAGCTGGTTTAGCCTAGATACTACCGTGAATCTTTTTGCGAATGACCAGAATGCGTATGCAGGGATTCAGTTGATTAATTCGGATGATTTGTCATTCTCAGTGTGGAAGTGGAATTTGGGTGAGTTGGAATGAAAACGTAATTAGACTAATTGAGAGCAAATCTCATGCTAATCCGAATTTCGGCGTTCGAAAAATAGCTAATAATAGCGCAACATTCCTTGGGACGAACGGGTACCCTTTTGCACAGTTGGCCGATGTTCTTATTGTAAGCTTGTTATATTTAAAACATACCTGCACCATAATTATAATCTATTTATCTCCACGCATGTTGATCTCTATCCATTTTACCTCCAATTTCAAGGTTTATAACGGTGATTATGATAGCTTAGCCGTATTCAACATGACCAAAAATGCTTGGGTTATTCAAGTCAACAACGCCACCGGCGTACCCACCACCAGCCCCAACGACCCCAACGACCCCAACGGCCCCAACGACCCCAACGACCCCAACGGCCCCAACGGCCCCAACGACCCCAACGACCCCAACGAACTTTCCACACCGGTTCAGTCAAAATCTTTGCCGAATATTATTGGTGCAGTTGGAGTATTGGTGGTTCTAGTGGGCATGGGCTTGTTCTTGCATGGCCGGACCAAAAATAAGAAAAAGAATGGGGAGCAGCCGGCAATAGCGGAAACTGATGCGGCATCTGAAAGCAGCATCGAAACTGGTTCTCAGAGAGACAATTCAGAGATTTGTCAACTACCTACACTTGAAGTATCTGGGCTTCAAAATGAACATTATTCATTTTTGTCCGATACTACTATTAATATGAACAGTTCGCTGATTTATCAATCAAAAATTGAGCATTGTTCATTTTTGTCCGACACTACTGTAGTATCCGACTTCTCAACATCTCCGACTTCACATCGTACAGTGAAACTAAACTCTACTCCCCCTCCTCCATCGTCACGTATAAGCGAACTCTATACTCAATATAAAGTGACAACTATTACATTCACTGCTTCTCCATCAGCCCAATCGGATGCAATTATATTCAACAAGTACAAACTCAGCGGCGGGATGCCAACGTACGATGTCAAGAATTCTGATCGTAACTCTGTTCGTCGTGCAGAGGATGAGACTATGCATGAAAATGTTGCGGTAAAGTTTTTCTCAAACAAAGATTCATTCGAGCGTGAGGTTGTCATGTTGAAGCATCTTCGATCGGAATTTGTTTGTGCATTGCGCGACGTATTTGACATTTCCAATTGGAAATATGCTATGGTCATGGACTATTATCCTATGAGCTTGGATAACTTTATCATTAGTAGAACCGGAACCACGGATAAATTATACGTGAAGATAGTGGTGAAATCGTTAGCACAAGCAATCAGTTATGTTCATAGTCACGAAATAGTGCATCTGGATATTAAGCCGGGAAACTTTGTCCACGAGGTTGGAGATGTGAACAAGTGGAGATTGATTGATTTTGAGGCGGCGAGGGTCAATGGAGAAGAAGATGTTGATAGCAGCACATTAAGATATGCTTCGCGTAAGTAGTGAGAAATATTGAAAAACCATGATTTATATTCGAGCACTTGTAATTTTTACTCATTAATATGCAAACTTACCTTTTCCTCCTTACACAGCTGAAATAATCAATGCGGCTACATTGCATACTAGCATCAAAGCAGATACATCGATGGATATGTGGTCGTTAGGGTGTACAATGTACGAAGTATATACTGGAAGCCCTCTCTTCCCAAATGAACAAGAGGCTAATGATAAATTATTTGAAGCATATGATACAAAGCACTTGGAATTGCCTCTTGATAATGTAGAGGATATTCAAGCAAGGCATGTACTCGAGAAGTTGTTAGTCATTAACCCTATGAAGAGAGCTTCAGTTGGGGAAATTTTAAGAGGAGCATATTTTCATGGTGGTGCTGATAGTATTCAGGTATATATATATATATTGCTATTGTCTGTCGCCTGCTGCTACCGTCTGCAAACACTCACCTCTCTTATTATAATGATTTAAAGATATACAATCTGCAGTCAGAATCCGAGAAAATCATTAACATCCTAAACCAGAGGTCGTGAATAGTATATCTGGTACGAGAGACGCGACTGTGCCGAGATGATTTTAAAAACGTCAAAGGGCGAAAAAGATTTGTTTAGCTTGGGAGTGAAGCGTTTGTTTTAAATGTAAAGAGATTTATTACGCTATTATTGTGCTTGCGTTGATAAGTCAGGTGTTTTGTTAATAATATGCCACGTATATAGCATGTGACGTTAATTTGACATTCAATTATTTCCGCTGTCATTCATCGTTTATATTTAGCCTGACACTTTCACAGATATAACAATAGTTGGGTCTTTATTGACATTGCACTCAGTCAAACATACACAGTTGGACGCTTATAGTGCTTTTCTATGATAGAGTCTAGTCATTATTTAATTTGAACTTGTCAAAATAAATTACATTAGAGCCTTCATCTCCTAACAACTTTCTTAACGATTTAATATACTTGAGTAATTGTAATTACAGCTGCAATATAACCTCACGAATTTCAGAGCATTTTGTTCATCGATTGTAATAATTTAATCTTTCATATTTGGAAAGGCGTTGAAAGCAATATTCTTGAGTTTCTATGTCAGCCTTATTATTATGCTGGCAGTTTTTATATGTCACTTCAAACAGAGCCTGTACATGTATTTAGCCAAAATCCAGCTCGTTACAGTTGAATAAGATCGCATTGTAAAGGGACTTTTTTTGGTCGCAATTTTCATATATTAAAAATCGCTCGTCATAATGGAATTCATAGTAACTCGCGTTATTAGCTATAAAGGAATTTTTGTTGAATCAGAAATGGATGAAGACGGATCAAATTCAAACATTAATATAATCGATTGGACGTTTCGCACGTAATTTATAGAATGTCTAAGGCTAAGTCGATTAAGTGGGTATCTGTAAAAAACGCACGGAAACGTCAGCTATGTCTTGACAAGGAGAAAAAAAATACACATCAATGAACAGCAAACTTGCATCCAAGCACAGAATTAAAGAAAAAAAGAACGGTCTTTGCAATCTTGATATCAAAAAAATGTGAATATATGCTCAGTTGGAACGTAATCGGCCTTCAAAGGAGATTGGGTTGAAGAATATAATCAATCCATTTCTAAACTCATAATATGTAAGGAATAGCATTATACAATTTTGGGCTAAATGGTTAGTAAATCCTGCCATTAAACGAGTAAACACTTTTGACTCATTGAGAGTTAAAGTTTGAATAAACAATACGAATATGAGCCGTTGTTAAAAGTAAATACAAGTTTAATTAATATTAATAGGGGACTGTTTATCAAACCCATGAAACTCTTCACATAACCCAACCAAAGTACTATTACTGTGAAAATATTGACATTACAGATTACGGCTTATCTGTTATTATTATAGCATGTGTGGCACAATAAACTTCGTAATCGCACGTTGTGGTTTGCATTTCCCTGTAAGACGTTCGTTAATAACCAGCGAATAATCCGAGTGGACAACTAGTAAGGGGCTTAGATGTGACGATGTTTTGTGGCATCTCAACAAAAAAGCGATATTACGTTTATGTCATACATTAAAATTACGGGATCGTCCAAGAACAGTAATTGTAACGGGTAAATATTGAAATTACTACACTTGCATTCTTTGTTCTAAATTTACATGAATCGTAAGAAGAGTTAGTCAACCAAAGGTCATTCGTAACTGCTTTGGTAGAGTACATTTGTTTTACTATTATAGTATTGATATTATCTTCCGGCGATGATATGAACTATCCCACATGTATGGCACAATATTACGCTATGTATCAATGCGTTAACCAGTTTTAAATTGGGTTCTTCTTAAAATTAAGCCGCGAATATGTCAAATCAGCTGACTATATTACCGCTATTTGACTTGCTGCAAAAATCTGCCATCGATTGCTAAGATGCATATTACTGCGAGTGAGTCCTGGTATAAAAAATGGCTGAATAATTCAGTGGCAAACCTTGTCACAGAAGCTTTGTGTGAATGGAATCACCGACCGTCATTTCCATTAAAAGCAATGACCTATTTTCATTATTAGCATACTAAAATGGCAAGTCCAATGTGATACGGTCTCTGATTTCTGAATATCAAATCATATGATGAAGATATTGTCGCTGAACATCATCTCATTTCACCGACCATCCTGGCTTGTTCATTGACATATCGAATAAATATACAAAGCGGTTCGCGCTTATTAAAATAGTAAATAACACATCTTGAAAACAGTTCGAGACTTCATTTAATGGATTTTATACATCTTTTACATGAGCTGTAAGACCCAAGGTCCCAGTGATACGCGTCTACAGTATCTGCCAACTACCCGATTTTTAACAAGATGAAATAAGCTGAGTATGAGCTGAATTTGAGTATGGTTATTATCCAAGATTCTGAGTCACTAAAATAATGAACAATAAAGCGTTAATTATGTGTAATAGATGGTATTCCATATATCATCAGGCTTATCCCCACGTATATCTTTAATAAGGTTCTGAATACGTAAAAAAAGTTCCTCGCATGTTGGACGTTTCTTGGGATCAGCATTACAACAACTCTCGGCAAGTTTCTTATAAGCCGCTGGTGCTGAATCGGGCATTGTAGGTCGCAGCCCACCCAGAATATCGCATACTAAATCTCTATCGAATGATCTATTCCTGAACGGCGGTTCACCACTGGCAATTAGATACGTAATAATGCCAAATGCATATATGTCTGATTCTGGAGTAAATCGACGAGTGATGAAGGCTTCTGGTGCAATAAAAGGTGAAACACCTTGAATGGTTGATTTTGACATGGACGACTTTGATCGTGACTGACCGAGATCGCATATGAAAAGTTTGCTTGTGTTGGGCTCGCTGAAAATTATATTCCCACCATGGAGATCACAGTGTACCAGTCCTCTGTCATGGAGATCATTCAGATGGATGGCAATATCCCTCAAACACGACAATTTCATCTCCCATGTCATCGCGTTAATATTTTCATTCAAATAAGACAAAAGGTTACCACCTCTAGCATATAGCATTACGATCATGTATTCTCCTGTCACCGGTTGCTGTGTAACTCCATAAATTGGAAGGAAATGAGTATCCGAACACTTGGCATGATTCCTGAACTATTAATGAAAGATAACGTCAAATAAATATCGCTTTAATAAATTATGGCTTAACAATTCGGAGACTATACCTCGGAAATAAATAGTTCCGGCATCGGGTCAAAGGTTTTAAAGCGCTTGAGAACAACGCGTTCATGTCGATCGATAGGAAATACGTTTATGTCGTGTTTGGCAGTATAAATTGTGCTATAACCGCCAGATCCGATCTCTTCGATTCCATAAAACCTGTTGTATTGTATATAATTCACATCTCTATTATTTCGGAAAACTTTTGCCAATATTGTATATATCTCGTTATATAATACCAAACAATAGTTGTGGGTAGATGGTTCTTGAGTGAATCCAATAACCCAGATGTTATCCGGGGTTAATATTTCAGGATAATCCTTAGTTAGCTATGTTGAGTATATAATGTAATCATCGATTAAAAACACAGGCAATAGCAAGACTGTGATTATTTGAAATACAATGCTTACCTCATAAAAGTCAAATAATTGATTCTTCTGTCCATCAACTATCGTTTTGAATACTACGTTTATCGATCCATTCAATGTTGGTTCTGGCCAATCGGCTACATGTGTGCAGCCATGGCGCAGTGATGTTGCCTCTCGTACATTCCTCAAATGTGAATACTCTATCCATTGCAAATAGGGATCATTAATCTCACACACGTTACTCCATGATGTCGTTATAAATGCATCCAGAGAATTGTTGCCGGTAGTCCAATCAGGAGGTCTTGCTGCTTTACAGCAATAACAGAATGCAAGTATCTCGGGTTCTAATTCTGATGTACATGCCAGGCATGCTCCATCATTGCTTGGTCCTCTAATTATAATTAGACAATATTTTTTGTTTTCTGTATTGTATGTAAATCCGATCGTATTCCAAATACTTGTGATAAGAATATCTGGATGTTTATCGCACAACTATTAAATTAAACATTATGTTAAGTCAAGAATAGTCTATAAGTATCATATGTTCACAACGGAATAATTACCTGGTCGAAATATGAATCATCTATCTCATCGGTTATTTCAAGTGGAACTACCCTCGCGTAACAGAATGCGGGTAGACCATTTAAGTATGACCAAGGCTCACCACAACTAAGACAATCAAATGGAATCCATTCCAAATAGGCTTCGTTTGCTGAGTTGGTTCGTATTTGTGACTTTTTAATAAACTCATCGAGTTTCTTGTTATTGCTAGTCCATCCGTTGGATAATTGTTTATGTCCGCAAATGCACCACACTGGACTGCATCGGAGTATCCCACATGCGGAACAGAATCCATAGAGAGAGTAACAATCTTCAAACTTTCTATCGGCAACCATATAATAGTTATTGTCGAGTTTGGTAAATCCTTTTATCATGCGGTTGCGACAACTAAGCCATCTTGCATATCTTCTGAACCGATTAGGTAGAGTATCGAGCTTACATTTGCGTGTTGGGAGTGAGTATTTTCTGGCAAACTCACTTATGAGTTCCGATGTACATTTCTCGTCATTGCCGAGAAGTAGCAGCATTATTTTACATAATCCTCGTTTGCAATGGATGATTTGATCAGTAGTGTCTTGAACTAACTTTATGTTAGTGAACTCAAAATGAGAAACCCATGTAAGACTATCGTATTCTTCGGGTAAAGAGGATTGAATCAAGCTGTAAACTGCTATATTTTCAGGCATTTATGCTTCTTACGGGGTGTGTTAGGTTTGTAATGAGAGTGGGCTGAAAGTGCTGCCATATATGTATATATACATATATTTGCTGCGGCCTGCTTGAATTCCCATCAAACGTGTGCTATGAATAAGCTTAAATAGTAGTTAAAGACACGCCTATTATATCGTTTGATTGAATAGACAACTAATCCGACATAAAGAATGTGTATACTCCTCAGAAACGACCTTCTAACACC